GCCCTTCGCATATCCACCTCAGACATTCAACCAGACTTCAATGCACTTGTTCAAGCCCAAAGGTGCCCACAGACCTTACGATAATCGCGGGAAATCCCGCGATCATACGATTATCGTAAGGTGTGTGGAAGCCGTGCGACCTCTACTACTGTAAGGTCGCACGACTTTTAACTTGCGAACATGTTTGAAAACCTGCCGAGCATCGCACGATGTTCGGCGGGTGTGTAGCATGTTCGTAAGATAAAAGCCGGACGGGCCGGTGTGCGCAAGCGCACACTGCCCGTTCGGCATTGCGGTCATCGGAAGCCCGCCCCTCAGGGGGGCGCGGCTTGCGATCATCGCAAGCACGATCTGCCTATCCAAGATAGGCAGATCGTACGTTTTTTTTAACTACCTTACAACCATCGCAAGACAAAGTCTTGTGATGGTTGTAAGGTGTGTGCCCAGCCCAAGACAGACTGGATTTTTCTCACTCAACAAAAAAAAAAAAAACACCTAGAAAACAACAAAAGCACCTACTGCTTTTCGTACAACATTAATTATTTGCTGGTCTGAAACATACACATTTTCGGTACTGTTTTTTCTGCAAAACAGTTTTTACCAAGGTTAATATTATGTTATGGTAAAATTAAAGAGTAACATAATGAATGGCGTTTTTTCTTACCAGTAGCAGATAACTAAAATCATGTAATTTATTGCTTTTTATAAAGCATATATTGAGCAGCCTATTGGTTTGGCCATCCACAACAGTCCTAGTTTCTCATGTGGCCCCTCGTGAAGATTAATTGGCCACCACTGCCATATACAGTTACAACCCAGTTATTGATGGTGCTCTTTTAGGAAGTTGTCTTTGTACTGCCATACAGGGTAGTGGTGTTGTTCCCTCACACCAGGCCAGCTATTTCATAGGCAGCTGTGGGGAATGGTTCATGTTAGCTGGGTTGTAACGCTACTCCGTATACTAAATCTGTTCACTATTGACACTTGTGTATTTAACCCTATTCATTTACATGTCTTCACTACCTTTAACAAAGTCCATTTAAATTATTAACTGGTGTGGTCACTCGGGGACAGAGTTGGTCATCACTGGAAACAGGGCAGGAGAACCAAACAATTCAGTGACTTCTTTGGGGGTGAGCACTACAGATGTATTTTAACTGTGTATTTAGGTTTTTGCCTAGAGTTCAGCGATAAGAATAAAAGGTTTGCAGACATTCCATCAGATGTACTTGCACTGTTAAAAGACAAACTATTCAAACAGCAGTTTCATATGTAAAAAACTTTTTTTTTCCAGGTTGCCTTAGCTTACTGGATTCCAGAATGGCTTTGGGTATCCGCATGGAGCTTTATCTGCAACATCTTTCGCAAGGAGCACAACCTCAAACCACTGAAATTATAAAAATCCATGATTCAAATTTTTCTACTGCTGAATATGTTTAGGACTCGTGGAAGAGGCATTATTCTATACTCATATTTCCTCTTTAATTTTACGACTGCTAATGCATATATATATATATATATCTTTCCACTTTGTAATTATCCCAACCACTGGTGTTATTGGCTCTATTTAGTTACTTTTACTATATTCTGATTGTATTTTACACTTTCACTGCCTGTATTTGTTATTATTGGCAAGATTGCAAATACATTTTGTTTAATTATGGCCGTTTTTTTATTATGGCTAGGTCTGGAAAATGATACTGTAGGATGCTCCTAAGCTAATGGGGGCCATGAGTCTTCCTGGTCCACTGCAGTAGACGAGAGAAAGGGATTGTTTGGGTCACTAGGGGAGTAAAACCTAAGGGTCCCCTTCCAAGACAGGGAATGTTAGTATGTGGCATGAAATCTTTTTTATTGCAGGACAGAAGCCTCAGAGTAAAAAAGAAACTGAGGGGAAGAAGAAGACGACATAGGAGAGGCAGAAGAGTGGGTGAAAAGGTCGAAGCCAAAAGTATAAAAAAAAAACTCTCTCTCATTTAAGGATAATACTATTAAAATCTATAACCTGTTTAATTATGTTTTAAACCACATCGAGAGGGCACCTACCACCCCCTGACGAATTTAAACTATTTGTTGATTTAAATAAATTTGTGAGAAAACCAACACTGCACAGGCATTATCTTACAGGAGAAAACAAAGAGGTGAAAACATATTTCCACCTATGCAGTAAATCAAGTTTTGCGGACTAATTGTGAAGGAAATGTGGATCTTGACATAGATTAGCCCTGCTCCGCTTGGAAGAATTGTTGGATAGACAGTGCAATATTAAGGAATTTAGGTCTATTTATGATCCCGATATTATACACACCCATTTTAAACCAAAAATTACAATATTTTCCCCCGACAATCAAAAGGCCAATATATTTCCACTTTTTTTTTTTACTTGTCTATTTAGATTTCAAATGGATTTGTGCAGCTAAAAGGAAAGACAATGCAAACCTCTCCAAAATGGAAAAAGAGGCTATTAAAGCTTTTAAAACAAATCATGATTAGACAGGCGGACAGGGTGGAGGTCTAGTTGTACAAAACAGAGAACTAAGTGGATATGGCACATAGATTATTATCTGATGTAGACACATACAAAAAATTGGTGGGATGTCATTAGGACTAATTGATAAGACAGTCATTGATGGAGTTATCTCCAAAACGGAATAGAAATATATATGGGTTCAACATGCCACAATACCATATTCCAAAAATACACAAAGATATCCACAGACCACCAGGTAAATCATCCATAATATCTGGGATAAATAGCTTACAACCTTGCAAGACATATAGACCACTTCCTTTAGCCAATAGTTTGGGAGTTACCCTCATATGTACCTGATTCTTCCCATATGTTGGAAATCCTGTCCCATCTCTCCCTATCCTGTCTCTTCTTCCGCTCCTCCTTTTCTCTATCTTTCTTGGCTGTCTGTCCTCTCTCATCCTCCTACCTGTCTCACCTGGCCATGCTTGATCCACATAGACTAAGTGTTTTTTGTTGGGTTTTTTTGGGGGTGGGGAAACATGGGAGGAATTTATCAAAACGGGAGCAGACAAAATCTGGAGCAGCTGTACATGGCAACCAATAAGCTTCTCTTTTCAGTTTGGTCAGTTAAGAATGGAAAATGAAAGACAGATGCTGATAGGTTGTCATACACAGCTGCTCCAGATTTGATACATTCCAGTCATGCTGTCTGGTCCTATGCATATCTTCCTGTGTGTCTTGTCCTGTCTGTGTGTAGTGCTAGTGCAGCTGAATGTGTTGAAAGCGGGTTTTCACTTCCTGTCTGCAGCTTTCAACAGATATGGACACACTAGTACTGCCGGAGCACAACAATAATGCCATAATGTAATGAGATGTTCCATAGGTGAGATTGCCCTGCCGTAAGCAGTGTCCTGATGCTACAGGTCAGTTTTCAACATCTCAAGGAGTGAGTGTAAGCTAAAAAAACATACAAAAAAAAAACAAACAAAAAAGTTACTTGTGAAAAATACTAGGCACATTATACAATACAGGACCAGTGTTTAAAAGGTTAACGAAAAGACATAAGTGAAAAAAAACTTTTCTGGATGTACATGCAAGTCCTCTTATAACGTCCAAAAATGACCCTTTCATTCTCTTAGCTTCAAGAGTGGGTGCACCCAAAAATTACATCTCCAGTGATCCTTCTTTAAGAGCCATCACAAAGAACATGCCTGCATATAAATAAAACATGTCTACTCATAAGCTCAAACAAGAGGAAGTGCTACGAAATGGAGCAGGAAGTGACCGCAGAAATTAATCTCCATGAGGACGTGCCCCCCCAAAAAAGCACCAAAAACGCACCACACCGTGTTTCTGCAAACACGTGTAGATCTGGTCCAGACATGGTGCGACAGGTCTCTAAAACCAAAATGATGGTGAAATTAAGCAATCTGCTGTGTGTCTGACAACTGACTGTTGGACATCACGCACAACAACTAGTTTTATGGCAGTCACTTGTCATATTTATGATGATTTTGAACTTTTGTCATCTCTCTTGAACTGTTTCTAATTTGCAGACAGGCTCACAGCTGACAATCTGGCAGCTGAACATAAAAAAAGGGGGCATCACAGAGTTGTTATTTTATCTCTGACAATGACAACAAAATTAAAGCAGCTATCTGGAAAGTTGGATGGAAGCACTTAAAATGCTTTGCTCGCAAACTAAACCCAATTGTGAGGAAAGTTTAAAAAGCATTCACGAAATGGTGGCAAATATTGTGGAATATGTCAACAGAAGCACTGTTGCAACTGAAAGACTAAAAGCAACACAAAGATGAATGGGCATTGAAGATCTGAGGCTCAAGCAAGATGTAGCAACAAGGTGGAATTCTACTTATTACATGCTTAAAATCTTTGGAGCTGAAAAAATTAATTTCTGCAACACTTGCTTTGGTCAACCCCAGCCTTCCAACCCTGACACTTGTTGAGTGGGATGCAATTAAAGATATGTGTGAACTACTGAAGCCTCCACTTAATGGAGGGACAGACAGGGCCGGTGGTGGGCAAAGCTGGCCCGTGCTCTAGAGAGGCAGAGACAGTTGTCAATCAGGCAGCAGTGTGGATCCCAACAATAATGTTGGGATTTTTCCCTGGCTGCAGTGTGGCTTTGCACTGTCAGCTTATAGTGGGCAGTAGCAAAAGAACTATAGCCGAAAAAAGGAGTACTTGCCTTTAGTCAGGTTTGTGACAATAATAAGTTAAGATGAACCCCAAACTAAAGTAAAAATGTGGGATTTGTACTGGCAAGAGTGCTAGGAAATTTTCCCCAACATTCACAAGTCAGTGACAAATCCTCAGAACAGTCAGGTACAGACATTCAAGAAGACCCTTTTCTCACTAGCTCCCAAAAGACTTACGGAGCTCAATAGCCCCCAGCAAGATTAAAACATGCAAAAGGTTTGTATCAGGGCAAGGGCCTTTTTGGCCAAACTGGTTGCTTCAAATGCAATGTACACAACTGTGGCGCATGCCCTTTCCTTTGGCATAGGAAGAAGGAGTTATTTGCCTCTGCATGTTCTCCATTAAACAGTTTATCAACTGTGCATCAGAGTATGTCGTTTACGGCATCCTGTGCCCTTGCGGTAAGCTTTATGTGGGTCGTACCTCAAGAACGTTGAGAGTGAGATTTGGAGAACACAAGAGAAACATCTTAAACAAGGTAAATAACCACTCTATACTGAGACATTTCCTGGAAGTCCATGTGTCCAACCCTGAAGGACTTAAAGTCTTTGGGATAGAGCTGATCTCATCCACCAATAATGATGGTAATAGGTTAAAAAAAAACTTTGCCGTAGAGAAGCCTACTGCATCTACTCATTCAACAGTCTGGTTCCTTTAGCAGGTCATCAAGAGCCCAAAAATGAGAAAGAAAAAAGGGAACTAGACGGTTGCGTAGGAGAGGCAAATGGGGTGGAAGAAAGGCAAAAGAGGGAAAAAGATACAATAAAAATGTACAACCTTTCTTCTTATATACTAAATGATATAAAGAAATAAGGACTTAGTTTTTCCCCACGGCCCATCTGAAAGAATATGACCTCTTGGTAGATTTGAATAAATTTATTTGTAAACGGACTCTGCACAGGCATTTTCTGAATACTCTGGAAAAGTGTAAGGTAGAATCCAAGGGCGATGATGGGCATGGAAATGAGCGAGAGATTGATATAACATTGTCTGATCATAATGAAGATACTGAGATGGATAGACTGGCACTGAAATGTTTACAAGAATTGTGGGATGCAGAGATTGTAAGTGACCTAGTGCCATCCACTTATGATCCTGTTATTCGCCACACTGTTCAAAACTAAGTTTATGTTCTTCTCTCATCATTGGAAAGGTCAATATGTGATAGTTTACCAGTTAGTACAATATTAAATCATTGTGTAAAAACAAGTGAATGACCAACCCGAATCTGTCATCTAATGAAAGGTTAGGTATAAAAGACCTTATGGAAAACAAACAAAGATCTTATCATAAGGCAGGCGGATACGGGTGATGTATTAGTACTACAAAATACGGCTGATTTTGAGGCAGAGGCACATAGATTGTTGTCAGATATTACTTATTACTTGCAATAATAAGAGATTTTAGAAAATTATTCTTGTTAAAAATTTGTAAAATTAGAATATGTTCTTGAATGCATTCATTGAATAAAGGGAAGATAGCATTTCTCTTCCCATCTCCTCTGCAACAGGAGAGCTACTCCTCTCCCTACCAGCCCTTTGAGCGGGAGAGAAGCCTTTCAGACTGGAGCCTAGTCCACTTGGCAAATGCTCACTATGCCCAATGACCAGTCCAGCTTGTACCCCATAGAAAAAGCAAACATTTAATTAGGTCCCCATCCCGACGAATCCAGCATCATATCTATTTAGCTTCCAATGGCAAAATGACTACACCTATTAGTCACCACATCGGTCTACACATAACCTTGATCCCATGGCATTATTATTTTGTTTGGAACAATTATGGCCACAGACTCCTCGAACCCTTGCAACACCCCTTTGCATCCTAATAGAAGCAGGAGAAGTTGTTGGCTCTTCCTGCACAGCTGTATCCATGATATCTTGGCATGCCACATTAACTGGAGCAGCACAGTTTGCAGGACTTCCAACAGGCTGCTCTGCATCCTGAGCAATGTCCAGGTCATCCGCAATGTCTGGTTCATCCACTGGTTCTTGTTGCTGCAGAGTGGCTGCGGCAGAGCTGCAACCCCATGAACTGTCATTGCTAGATAACAAAAATTGGGTATCTTAAAATGAGGCTAATAGAATCATCATTTTTCACAGCTACAGGACACAAAAGTTATTTTTTGAAAAGGAAAATGCAAGTAGCATGCTGACTTACCTACACATTTCAAGGATGGGTAGCAGGAAGGAAAGCTCCTTTGCATGAACATATTCAGTCAGGTCTTGACCTCCTGATCCGCTTCTGCAATTGCTCAATAGTCTTCGGTAGCGGGCAAAGGCATCTTTGAGATTTTTCAACTTATCCTTTAGAACTTTACCTGTAAAACACAAACACATATTTCATTTAATTCTTGCTTTCTTTTTTTTTTTCTTAGGTACCTAGCCACTGGCCAAATATTGGCAAGTCTACACTATTCATTCTTGATTGGAAAATCCTCGGCCAGTTACATTGTTCGTGAAACGTGCACTATGATATGGCAAAACCCATGACGGAAGAGTGGGTTATTATTGCACCTGTTTGAGGAACGTTGTAACTTTCCCAATTGTGTTGGGGCCATTGATGGAAAACCCATTTGTATTATAAAGCCCGTTGCCAGTGGAAGTACATTTTTTAATTACAAGAAATATTTCTCCTTTGTGCTACGGGCAGTTGCCGATGCAAACTATTGCTTCAGGTACATAGATGTGGGGTCCCATGGCAGTGGTTCGTACTCCAGTATCTTTGGCCAATTCACTTTTGGAAACGTTACGTGAAAATCTGCTTGATCTACCTGATGACTTCCCCATGCCTGGAACCACCATTCTTACACTACCTTATGTTTTTGTGGGGGATGAGGCCTTTGCCCTTGGTGAACACCGTGTGAGGCCCTATTCCAGCCGAGGCTTAACCCTGGACAAGAGTGTGTTTAATTATAGACTCTCCAGACCACGAAGAATGGTGGAGTGCTCCTTTGGTATCCTCAGCAACAAATGGTGTTTTCTGCATACTCCTGTCAACTTGAATATGCAGAATGCCATTGGTGCTGTGAAGGCCGCATGTGTTTTGCACAATTATGTGAGGCAGAGAGATGGATCACTGTGCGATGATGCCATGATTCATAACCTGGGAAGGCCAAATTGTCCTGCAACGGGTGGAAACACCCAGGGATCTACTGTTAGGGACCAATTTGCCTCCTACTTTATGTCCCCAGCAGGTCAGGTTCCATGGCAGATGCAGGCAGGTGAGGATTTTGCATAAAAATGTTCTCCAATATACAGTTATATTACGTTTTGGTGCTTTGTGATACGGATATTGCCAAAGAAATACTGCAATGATGTTACCTTGACATCAATTCAATAAAATAAATGTATTACGATTTCTGAATGCTTATTGTGTATAAAAACATGTGTGGTATTGTCCTTATCACCTTGTGTGTATGTGACAAGTTTTGCATTCCTAACCCTGCTGAGTGGGACAGCTTTTTTCCGAGCAAGTTAGCAGTTCATTTTCCGAGCTGGTAAAATATGTAGGTACACATTGCAGCAAATTATCTTCTTTCTCTCATTAACACATCTCATGTGACCACAAAATAGATTAGGATAATTTTGAACCCATGGCCAACAAATGGGTGGATTTGTCTCTGTTTGCCAAAACTGGGCATTCTATTCGTACATGGGTCTATGCTGGCTACATATGGTCTTGGAGAGTGGGAGGGGGGGACCCCTATATAACGAACCATAGCAATAACGACCCAGGCCACATCCAGCAAACCATGGATCTGTGACTGTGGTGGTCTGTGTACAGGGGGCCTTCTTTGCATCATAGTGCCCTCGAATGCGCCAAGGAGGATGACAAGCCCACCTGGCCGCAGAAAACAGGGCCAGGCTTATGGAGAACACTTTCAGTTTCAGCATGAATGCATTAACATACATGCAGAACATGCTGAACTTCTATGCAGACCACCTTGCCAGGCTAATGGAGAAAAACACTTTAAGTTACAGCATGATTCATTACCGTACATGCAGCACATGCTTACCTTTTGCAAATTGATCGGAGCTGCTAAATTTCTCTCATTCCTCTGGCCACATCTGCTAATGGCGCGAAATCCATGGAAAAAAGGGTAATGTATGAGCGACAAGCTACAGGCGACATTGAGCTGTGACATGTGAACAGCTCTATTGAAATGCATTGGACAAGCTACAAACGGCGATATCGCGGCAAAAATCGCGCAATTAAACGCTCAGTGTGAATGGGCCCTCACAACACTAAATAGAATGCCACCAGAATATGTGAAGTAGAAAATTCAAAAGCTAAAATGACTGGAACAAGGGCACAGTCTGGATGAAAATATGCCAGCTATAGTAAATAGAATGCCACAAAGTTAATTTCCTCTTAACTGAAAATAGGAATTATCTAATCCGATGTGAATTAGGTGAACTAAAATCTAACTGACTGGAGCAAGGATACTTACAAGTGCCAGTAAACATATGCCGGCTACACTAAAAAGAATACCACCAAGGTCTCTTTGTTCTCATTCAAAATAGGAATTATCCAATCCAATGTGCTATAGATAACACTTAGATTACTGGTGAACATATGCCGGATACACTAAATAGAATGCCACCAGGGTCTTTTCCTTCTCATTCAAAATAGATCATCATCTGATATGAATCAATATGAAGAACCAAAAACAATAATTTTTCACACGCACACTACAGACATGGACACATCAGTTTGAGATATTTAACATGAAAATGTAAAAAACAGCTACATTTTACAAGTTCAACTGCCATTGTTATGATTATTATGTTTAATATTTGCATTATTTGTTGTATCCTACCTAGTAACATCATGGGTCCCAAAAAACTCTCTGGTGCCCAAAATTGAAAGTGGAAGGCACTTATGAATTTAGAGGTCCAGAAGAGTGCCAGGGCTTTAACCTTTTCTCTGCCAAGGACGTATGGCATACGGACCTACAAAGGTGCTTCCAGCTGGCCAGCTCAGTATGCCATACGGACCTGGCATTTACAGTTCTACTATAAGCTGATGGTCGCTTTAGCGACCATCAGCTTATAGTAGAACTGTTCAGCAGACTGTCCCCTTTAAATTAATAGCTGTCATCAGCGGCTCACAAGCCTCTGATTACAGCTATTATCAAAAATACCGGGCGCCCCCCCCCCCACCGGCACCGCCGCTGCCGGCCGCCGGCATCTGGAGAGCTTGGCAGCGAAAGGGTTAAACAAAATTCTTGGGAAGATCAGCACATAGTGTTTTAAGCAACTAAGCAAGAAAAACGGGATGACGTAAGCCGCAGCAGTCACTCATGTTAAAGCCCATCTGCACTACACGGTAGGAATGTTGGATCAACTGCCTTAAACCTTTAAAAGGTGCCCAAACACCTTACAATTTATCTGCAGATTTTCTGTGGTCAGATGGAAAAAGTGCAACAGATTGGCCCAGGTGGAGATTACTCCATCCACACAGTTAAGTGTAGATGGAGGAATCTGTTGCACCTTTTCCATCTGACCACAGAAAATCTGCAGATACATTGTAAGGTGTATGGCCAGTTTAAGGCATAATCTGGCTGAGATACAGGATGCATTGATTGCATTGTCAGATGAAGAACACACAGAGCCCAATTTCTGTCATGCAGCTCTCACATTATCTCATTGCAGATTGGCAATTTCAAAAGTATTATGTCAAAGTATTATGACATATTGTACCAAGTCAATATTGTTAGTAAGGCAATGCAGCACGAAACAGCGGATTTTATTTTATTTACAGAATGAATAGAAAAATGTAAACATTTTGTGCATTCTTCAGAGAAACTGCATTTGAAAGTGCATTCTTTATCACACAGGAAATAGCTGAAAAGCTTTTTTTTGTGCAATCTACTCGCATTTGAAGGGAAAAGGCTTTATTTAATTATGAAGGAAAAGATAAACCATTAACTAATCCAAAGGAGAGATTAAAAACTGAATTATTCTATCCTTTGGTGTATATGACAATGATATCATTGGATGAGTATTTTGGCCAGTTTAACAATAATAGTAAAGTATTGTAAAGGGAACATTTGAAGGACTGCTGCTTGCTGTTACAGAAGGCTTTAAAAGAAAGATAATCTCTTATAAGTGGAATAGACTTATCAGAGAAGGTCTTATTCCCCAAAATCAACAACACCAATGAATGTACTTAGAGAACTATGGGGTCAGTGTTTTTCCCCCTAGTTCTCCTTAGGGTAACGGGAGGACACAAACTAGCGTCCTCCCGTTACCCTAAGCTCAGTATAGCGCGAGCTACAGCTCGCGTTATACTGAGACGACGGAGCGGATCCCGACATGGACGTTGGGATCCGCCCATCTGCGTGAGTGACAGCTGGCTCTGCCTATCTAGAGGCCGAGCCAGCTGTACCCGCCCCCTCCCCCCGTCCGTTCCGCCAGTCAGTGCTGGCAGATCGGAGCGGGGAGAGGGGAATCCAGCCCCTCCCCCTGTCACGGCAGAGAGCCGTGACAGGATCGAGAGGTGAGCAAACCCGGTATGTGTTCACTCACCTCCCGATCTACTAAGCCGACCTGTGACAGTCTCATTGTCACAGGTCGGCTAGAACTATGAGGTGAGTGGAAA